GTAATCTTAAAAGGCATTATGGCACAAATCATAATGCAAAATATGACCAAATACGTTTCAAAATTTAATGAAGACTAATTGTCGAAATGGAAATTAATTCTTCAAAAATTAACAAAGAGAACTACTGTAAAATTGAGTTATATATTGTCATCTCTCGAACGGATGGAAACAAATGACTGAAGGGGAATTTATTAGTGAATACTCACTTAAAGCGGTGGAAGTCCATTTCAAATACTCTAGCTAGCAGAGTTGGTAAAACAGTCAATGATTTGCATAATTCAACATCAATATCTCAAGCCTAATTTATTGCAATTGAGGGCCGTTGTAGCCTAATGTTTAAGGTTATTACTTGTGGTCTGTGTTGTCGAGTCACGGTGTCGAGTCCTCATACCACTGAAGACTCTCCGTATAGAGAGGTTGACACACGTTAAATCTATCGAATCAAAGTCCTTCCGTTGGCGTGGTGTGGTAATTTGGAGAGGGGTGTAGCTTAGATGACGTCCTGGGTCTTGGGCGAGGTCCGTCTCCAATAATCCTCGTGTTCCTTCAGAGTACGATGTTAATTAGCACTCACTCACTATTGCAATTGATCAAAGTCTGGAAATTCAAAAAATATCACTTAGTCTCTCTCTCTCATCCATGGATGTGGCCGCGGTAGCCGAGTGGTATAGGTATCGGACTGTGGCTTGCTTTGTCACAGGTTCGAGCCCAGTACCACTAAAGACCCGCCGTGTAGGGCAGCGATGCACGTTAAATCTGTCGAGAGCTGAAACGTCCTCCCGTTGGTGTGGTGTGGTAGTTAGGAGAGGGGGGTGCCAGCTCAGGTGTCGTCCACGTCACTTGACCATGGTTCAAAATTACGTGGTCCGTCGCCAAAAGCCCTCGTGTAGCTGAACAGTGCGACGTTAATATTCAATCAATCAATCTCATCCATGGATGCAATACTAATTTTAAAATAAGTCAACAACTCTTGGAAATCATTCATATGTGTAATACAGCCACTGGAGCTGATGTTTTTGATGCAGTTATGGATGTTTTAAAAGAAGTATATGTCACTATTGGAAAAGTTGGGTTTGTGTCTTGCAACTGATGGTGCACATACTATGATTTATGTTGCCCCCTAGTATACTCCTGCTATTATCGTGCCCTCCACAACTTTCATTTACTTTGTCTTTCTCATACCTAGCGGATGTATGGAAATGCTTCTTGCCATAAAATATTTCCCCTACGAAATACTGTTGATACTGATTACTTCCTGCTGGGGATAATTTAAGTTTGTCAGATTTGTTAATTTTTCTCTCAAAAACTGAACAATATCGACGTTTATTTGAATACATTAAAACCAACGTTGTAGCACCACATTTCAAACCAAATTCATGTCAAGCATCAGTTTTAATGAACCTTACTTTGAAATAGAAGAACACAGATTTGAAGTTATCAAAGGTTTCAGATGGCTCTGAACTGAACACTCTCAATGACATAACCCCAGAGGTTCGCAATAGAGGCACTACTGGTAACATATGTTTTTATGTGGACCTCAAAAATATTTAAAAATAATAAACTATAGAAAACAAAACTACTCATTTACAAATCATTGATAAGACCGTTCTCAAATATGCTGCAGAAACGTGGACAATGACCGAGAGTGACTCTTGCTATATTTGAAAGAAGAGTCTTCAGAAGTATTTTTGGAGGTTTAAAATGCGATAACATTTGGAAAAAAAAACCAATTTAGGAATTCATAAAATTTTCAAAGAACCAGATATTGCTAAATTCGTCGTAATAAAGGGTGTTTTTTTTTAGGTATAGAACTTTAAATTGCAATAAAACAACGATGTATTATTCGATTGACATGATTTTTTTTATTCGAAAGATAATCTTGTGGCATTACATTTTAAATATGATTTCTGGCATATGACTGCCACGGCTGGCTCGGATGTAGTCCAATCTGGACGTCCAATTTTCGATGACTTTTTCCAACATTTGTGGCCGTATATCGGCAATAACACGGCGAATGTTGTCTTCCAAATGATCAAGCTTTTGTGGCTTATCCGCATAGACCAATGACTTTACATAGCCCCACAGAAAATAGTCTAGCGGTGTTAAATCACAAGATCTTGGAGGCCAATTCACAGGTCCAAAACGTGAAATTAGGCGGTTACCAAACGTGTCTTTCAATAAATCGATTGTGGCACGAGCTGTGTGGCATGTTGCGCCGTCTTGTTGGAACCACAGCTCCTGGACATCATGATTGTTCAATTCAGGAATGAAAAAGTTAGTAATCATGGCTCTATACCGATCGCCATTGACTGTAACGTTGTGCCTTCATCGTTTTTGAAGAAGTACGGACCAATGATTCCACCAGCCCATAAAGCGCATCAAACAGTCAGTTTTTCTGGATGTAACGGTGTTTCGACATACACTTGTGGATTAGCTTCACTCCAAATGCGGCAGTTTTGTTTGTTGATGTAGCCATTCAACCAGAAGTGCGCTTCATCGCTAAACAAAATTCTCTTATGAAAATCGGGAACAACGGCAATCTTGTTTTGTGCCCATTCGACGAATCTACGCCTTGCTTGATGATCGTTTTGATGAATTTCCAAACCAAACTGAGAATAAATCGCTTGACAGCTGTTAAATCGGACGCCATCTTGGAAAGTAATGCCAACTTAAACTTCTATACCTGGAAAAAAACACTCTTTATAAAGGTTAAAATGGGCAAAACACCTGACAAGATTGGGCAACAATCAAATCACAGAAAAAGATCTTTGTGGCTAAGTTGTATGATATTTGAAAAAGAGGAAGACCAAGACTCAGGTGGATTTTTTTGACTGCCTACAAAAAGTTCTGAAAACTATTAATGTCAGAAACTGGAAAAGACACAGGTTAGCCTAGAATGGAATCCTTAAGGCCCAGCCTGGGCTCTCGGGCCATTGAGGAATGAAGGATACCACCGCATTTAGGCCTACAGCCCCTTATTTAAAACCAAAATTACTAAAAGAGTAGTTGCAAAAAAAATGAATATTAAAAAAAAAACATGCAAATAACATGACAATAAATTTTAATATATTCATTACATTGTTCATCAACAAGTATTGTACTTCTAAGTTTTAGATGTCAGATTTTTCTTTCGAAAAGTTGCCAATAAAATTGTAAATTATGTTCGAGCATGTAGACTTAATTATACTCACTTTTCTTCTTTTCTGGATGATTCAGAACGTGAATACACCAATAAATCATATTACACGGAAGTTCAATGGCTGTTGAATCATAAAATGTTAAAACGATTCTTCAAGTTGTTGTACGAAAGAATAATTTTTTTTAAAAAACAAAAAGTTACGAACGTGCTGAATTAAAAGCTAGACAATGGATAAAGGACCTGGATTTTTTGGATGATATTATTGTTGTTGTTGTTGTGGCTAATGCCACCTGTCTGACGTAGTCAGAACGAGGCCCACGAAATTCACCGTGGCATGGGCAAGAGGTACGCCTGTCGTTGGCCTTGAGCACCATACAGGTGACAGTGCGATTTAAGCTCGGTGAAACTCCCCGAAGGGACGATAGATGGCGACACGACCTCTATCTCCACCTCCACAATTTCTACAAGTGAACTGAAGGGGAGGGAAATATTCTCCAGTTCCTGCGCTCGTGAATAAGCCCACAAGACTACGGACCCACTGATTTAACGAGCACGTACTCCGTGTGCACTCGGAGGGTATTTGGTGACATCGAGCATGGATGATATTATAAGTCATCTTGTCGCCCAACCGGTATAGTGGTTAGCGACGCTGACTGCAATGCCGTATGGACTGGGTTCGAATCCCGGAGAAGACATGGATGTTTGTAAATGTATAGTGCCTTTGCGGCATGGGGGCACTCTAAATAGCCGTCAAGCCGCAAGTCCTCTCGTGTGGTTGGTGGAAGGGGAAGAGAGGTGGGAGGCCCCTGACCACCTCAAGGATTTTCTCCCTCTAAATTGGGGTGGAACAGAGCAAAAACGTACTGTCCCCTGCTTGGTGCTCAAGGCTAAGGCTAACGACGGGCGTAAATTCTAGCCCTTACCCGCGATGAATTTCACGGGCCTCGATCTGACTCCGTCAGGCAGGTGGCATTAGTCACAACACAACAACAATAAGTCATCTTAATCAGCTAAATATTCAGCTTGTAACGGGTCTATCCGTGTTCTTTCCACTAATAGTTCTCTTCGGGAATATTGAGTCTTTATATAAAGACTTGTATATAAATATTAAACTTTCGAGTTAGAGAAAGAGAGACTACTATGCGCTAGTAGTGATTTATTTAACGTGAAGTGAGCTTCTTAGCTTATTTGTGTAGTTTTAAAATTTTCGATTGGGTCAATTATATGTATAATATATACATAAGGATTCAATTGGATTTGGTCGCTTGGAATTAGAAGGTGTATTGTCTGGACGTAAGGGATCCGATTTATTAAGTCTTCTAGTACCTCGCTATTGCTTTCCATATGTAGTAATTTCTTAACTTGTGTTACAGAATCTGTGTCATGGTTAAAAACTGTGAACAAATATAAATTATTTCTAATATGGCTCCCCTACACAAATGGACGACGCGGGTCGTCCATTACAAGCTTCAAGGCAAAAATTATGTTCTTACATCGCTATTTGGTAATGCTAACGCTTTCAAATAAAGATTATTCTGTTGGCGAAAACAAATAGAACAAGTAACGCAAATAAAAAAAAATATTAGCCAATTCCTACTTAGGTCAACAAAGAAAATTTTTATTTTAGTTACTTTTTTAAATAGTTACAGTTAATATAAATATGTAGCTACATATGACATAATCGCAATATTAAGTGACAAAATAGAGAAAATGTGATTTTCCTTGCCATTTTCCATTTTCCTTTCTATATAGGGTGTTGGACTATTTTGTTTGTTTGTTACTATTTATTCAATAATTAAATTTAATTATTCTAATAAAATAGTATAGTAAAAAAAAGGAATCGCATTCTCATAAATTAGGCCATACCAGGTGGGCTTCCAGACCACGATACTTGGATTAGAAGTCCAACGCGCTATTCATTGCGCTACAGGGACACTACCAGCGATTTTCCTTTTTATATAACTATTATTATTTTATATTTTATATAATGAACATTGAAAAAAACTGTCTTAACATCAATTGTCATCCACTAAAAATTTTAAAAAATGTATTTGAACTTGAATGGATGAACGGAAAGCATTTTACTAACGATTGAAAATTTGAGAACAAGATATATATAGGACGTAGGAGAAAGACCTTTGGTATTGAATAGATGGAATCCTTCATTGTTTAATGAATCATTTATATCATTTGAAGTTTCTAATCATTTTCCCATATGTATCGAAATTTTTAAGGTTTTGTAACTGCATATTCGCTTGAGGGCCTTCGAGTGGCAAAATAAATAAACCGGAATAGTTATGAGTCGCTTTGTGTGGCCACTGTCTTGAGGGCTCTAAACAACAGTTTCGACAACTTGGAGTCGAAATTCTAAACATTCCATTGCCCAACGACATTTTTAGAATTTAGGAATGCCCCTTGTCTAGTCAATGGAAACATATCTTGATAGAATATTTTTTTGTGGCGTTTTCAGATTGTTTCTGATTACATCGATCTACACCAACCCTAGTGAGATAGAGTCCAAAATAAACTTTGACTTGACTATATCTTATTTTGTTTATTTTTGAGTTTCATTATAGAAGTATCGTGAGTCCCCTACACATCCAACACCATCTATTGAATTCAACTCGAATCAACTTTTCCAGTTATACCTTAGGGTTTGAGAATCCACTTTTCTCCATAGTTATTCGAGTCTAACAGTCAAAAATTAAATACTCGGAAGGAACATTTTAGATCCGAGATCATCTCAACCATGAGAGCTAAAAATTTAAGAGAATTCACAAAATTAATTTGAAACGGAATCTAATAGGAAGTATATATTTGTGAAATTGTACAGTCATGAATGAGATAAACAATAAAAATTGTAAAGGAGTAAAGTGCAATCTTCTACTACATAGATTTTCTCAACTTAAAGAAAACAAGTCCGAATTTTCTCGAATCCTTTTCCCTTATTTGGTATTTATTCTACAGCTCTCTTTGTGTCAAAGATTCATTCTATTGATTCCCTTTTTACTCCAAAGCATCTGGGAGTTGCACCTTTTTTCCATTTCCTGATTTTTATAAATTCTGCTTATTGGTCAGAAATCCTCATAATCACAGGATGGATATTTTCTGTGAATCACCGCAGAAGTTCCACCGTGTAGAACAGAGCCTCTGCACGTTAAATCTATCGAGACTCAAACGACCTCCCGTTAGTGTGGCGAGGAAGTTCGAAAAGGAAGGGGGGGGGTCAACTGCCATCCTCGTCACTTGACCATGGTTCAAAATTATGAAGCTCATCTCCAAGAGCCCTCGAGCAGCATTTTTGTACGACGTTAATATCGCTGTCACTCCCTCCCTCTAAAGTCTGAGTTCAGATGATAGAATTCTATGATGAGAGAGAACTTTGAGTGTCATTCATGCATTATTTTGTGAGAATATGAAGAAAGAAATGCGCATCAAATGTAATCAAAAGTTTCAAACGTTTGAATTTTATCTAAATTGTCAACAAAAATAAACTGTTAAACATTTTTTTCATGTAGGTTGTTGACTATTTTGGAGAGGTCCTTTTGTTCATTAATATTGTTTTATTTAATTCTCTTTCAGTATTGCGAACAATATATCATAAATATTTATAAATTTCATAACTCAAATTGCAGTTTTGCACTATTAGTGCAATTATTGAAACATTTTTGCTTACCATTATATGAATTTATTTTATTGCTTTGTATGCAATATTTATAGCAGCTTTTAAAAGTAATAGCTTATTTTGCATTTCCATAATTGAAATAAAGAAGGATCTCGAACAGTTCAAAATAGGATTTCATATTCAAGCTGAAACAAAATTTGAATTTATTAGCCAATTTAAATTCTATCAACATCATATAAACTATAAAGTGGCACTTCTAGGTACATATCCCCCCTCCCCCCAAATTATAATTTGACTAAATATTCCTGAGAACTCTGTGTAAGTATAATGCATAAATATTTTCAAATATATTTTAGTTAAACTAATTTACACTCAGCTATACTTTAATCAAGAGTATAATTTAACTTTAAAATAACAATAAAACACATTCAAATAAATCTATATTATAGATTAAATGTAAACGTTTATATAGAGCTGTACCTTTTTAATCCGTAAATTTGCAAAATTTTAATACAAATCTAAAACTTACTGTCAATAATATAATCCTACTTAAAGTGAATCACAAATGCTTCACACATGTTTCATATACATTTTTATTGAATTTATTGCCTCAGAGAAATTGAAAATGTTGCAAGTAACATTTCGTGTTTTGTACCGATTTATATATATATATATATATATATATATATATATATATATATATATATATATATATATATATATATATATATATATGTATATATATATATATATATATTACGATTCTAAACAAAAAATTAATTTTCTCTAATTATTTTAACAGATTTTCGTCATACGAATAAAATTTGAGAAAAAAAATGGAGCTCATGCTCACAATATGTCGATATTTTTAATAAGGATTTGGAACGATTACATTAACTACTTTAAAATACAGGAAGATATGGCTTCAATAAAGGATTTTCTTTTGGATGTTTTTAATTGAAACTCCTTTCTCTCTCTCTCTGAATTGATTCGGAGTGCAAATGTTGCTTTTGAATGAAATATGTTGTAAGAAATTCTTGAAATATAAAAGAAAAAACATTTTTTTCCGACACACAATCTACTTAGATTCAATGCTTCATTTACGAAGCAAAATAACTTATTTCGATATCTTCGTGAATAATGACTACAGATAAAGTATTCTCTGAAAGAAAATCGTTGAGAAAGAAGGAACTTTCTAGGGAATCATAGACACATCTGTAAACACAAATCCAAACTATTTGATTCGAATGGTTGTGTAAAAGCCTTGGGAATTGAATACAGGAAGGAAAACGGAGTATAGAAAACTCTCGAAGGAACATTGGATCGAAGAAACCGGTAAATATAATCACGTACTAAATTTTTCATTTAAAAACTTCCTGCTGTTTTGTGTTAATGCTTTTGTGGAGCTTTTCAAAGTTATTATTGATACGAGATACAGTTTCTTTTAATGCAGAGGTAAGCATGTCTTTGCTTAATATAACTAATGCAAAGATTTTTACAATTTCTGACCTTTAAGAACTCTTCTCTCATTGTCTCTTATACTAAACTAAAAGATACATATTATAAATTGTAAATTCCAAGTTTAGATTCAAAGCTCATTTTTCCTAATGACTGGGATTTGTTTGCAATGATATGTTCATTTAGTTTCTTGACTAAAAATAATTAATCAGCACTGAATAACGTCACAAAGCAAATAAATAAATTACTTCTGTTACATGAAAAACAAATTGAATTTTTTCTTTGAGATCACTCAATTATTAATGAATAAAAATATTACATTAGTATTATTGCAATTGCATAATACAACGTTTAAAATAATAATAATTAAAAAATAGACTCAAAACATTTTAGGTTATAGATGTGCTGAATTCCTTCATTTGTTTTTGATGTTTTGTTATCTATGGAACCTGATCAGCCTTTTTCAGGTAAAAAAAAAAAATCCACCACGAGGCTGGTTTTTTTTAATACAATACAATAAGTACAATAATTAAAAAATAAAATGAAAGATTAGAACTTTTAGCATTGTAAAAAGTCATTCAGTACATTTTAAATATCGTATAACTAAATAATATAACTCTGGAAGTATTTAATCTCGTAACCATTGGAAATTATAATCATTCGCCCCAATCACATAAATTGTTCTATCACATTCAACTCTGTCATTGTAAAACTGTATTAATCTATTTAAAAATATTAAGATGATTAAAAATTAAGATTCTTGTTTTTAAAGAACAAAGATAAGTTTTTGCTCTTCTAATTTAAAATATCTCGAGATTCTACCGAATATTTTAGAACCAGAAATATTTAGATTAAATTAAAGTAAAACTTTTTTTAAGAAGAAATTAAAGGGAATGAAAAGTATTTATTTTGCTATACGTTTCACACCTATTTACTTTTGACAAAAAATCATTAAATCCTCAAAACGGAGAAACGTATTTCCATGCACAAAATTAATCTATCGAAACAAAAGTCAAAAATCTTAAAAGACAAAAATCTTCTTTCAAAGCGAAACATTTCATTCAAATGTCTCAAAAAGTGGATAGATTGTTTCTTTTTCTACTTTTCATTGTAATGATACATATGCACGTACAAAGAGCTCATTTCATATCGCGTGTCATGGAAATTTTTTAATTATTCTTGAACTAGTCACTACAATAAATGGGCCAGTTGGTCTCTAAACTGTGTTTGATTTTCCAGACTGATGATGGCAATGCACCACAGAACCGAGGAAAGTTCCATGAAGGAGGTGTGGATGTTGGCATGGTTATACCGGAAAAAGGAGCCGCTCAAATTAAAGTACGGTTCACACTCTTTTAAGTCTTAGTATAAAGAAATTATTTTTACTAACGAAATGACAAGTTATATATGCAGATTTTTTAAAAAAATCAATGCATATGCTTAGCTATAATTCTATGCTCTAATTAACTCTCTCTCTAATGAAACTCTAATTAACTAAATGAAAATTGTTTACAATAAGAAAAATAACATAGGCTACTGGTGAGTTGATATTCGACACTTAAAATATTGAACCTTTGAGACACGACAGTGGGAAAAACAATCTTTGTTTTGCTATTTCTCGCAATTCTTAAAAAATTGTTCTTTTGTGTAAATCTGCAATAATCCCGTTACATTTTTTAACCCAAACTATTTTTATCAATAGAATTCCTCAATTAATATACATAATATATACACAAACATACATGTATATATATATATACATATTATATGATCCAAGGTATATATCCGAAGACCTGTTTGTCTTACTTTTCCTACAGATGTCTGAAATTAGAATGATGTTGGGTAACTTTT